TAAAAGTTGTATTTAAAATAATGTAAACCCAGTGTTAAATGTGGTCTCATGCAGAGCCTAGATGGATGCTTGGTCTTGGCTATGTCCTTAAAGCGTCCATACTTAAAGAGTTTTGCACTCCATGACTCATGGAATAGTTAAGATGATTAAAAGAAACATATGAAATAATTGCTTAGGTGACTGTTCTAAAATTGCTAAAATGAATTAAAGCCAATGTTTGGATTATCAAACCCATGAACTTGTTAAGACAATAAAAACCTTGGGTGATACATTTCTGTCACCTATAGTATCATTTGAAAATTTATGAATGAATTTCTTCCAATTATCAACATAAATGTTGGGCATATGAAAGTTTATCCACATAGGAAGGTCAATGCTGTAGCATAGCTAAAAAGTTTTTAGAAGGTATGTATTCTCCATGAGGCATTCCTAGAGAAATCGCCAGTGATAGGGAAAACTTATTTAACTCAGAAGGTTACAAAATAGTTAAACGAGATATAATAAACACAATGGCATTAGGCAAAACTGAGAGGACTGACTGGATTGTCTTGGCTAAAGGTGTCCCTATTGGTCTTGATAGAGATGAGATCTACCTCTAGTGGATTAAAGCCTTATAAAATAATCACTTGAAGGTGTCTTCCCCTCACAGTACTACCTGTATTTCCTGTTCTTACATAGAATTTGAATTGATTCAACATTACAATGCTGTTATGTGTTATTCCAAAGCAAAGTTTGACAACAGGGAATAAAAGCCCTTCGTGACACCAAGTGATGACAGGCAAACTCTTCATGAGTTAGAACCCAGAGACTGGATCTTTTCAAAGTAACAATAAAAGACATTTGCCCTTGAGCCTTTTTGGAAGAGATCATACCAAGGTCTCCTCATCACCCCTTCTGCAGCAAAACTTCATGGTTTCAATCTTGGACTCACATCTCTCAGCTCAAGAGGACCCTACTGTACATCCATTTGAGACCTGAAGATAAAACTAACCTTTTGAGATTCCTTCTCAGAAGCAGGTAACAACCTAGATGTGGAAAGTTTTCTTGAGATGAATCCAGACTTTTCTTTTCTGTTATCATGAAACCTTTGCCCATTTCCTCTTTTTCCTGTGCTTACTTTCTGTTTATGCTTGGCCAGATAATATCATAATTAAGACTTCATAATCAACAGCTTTTGTAGTGAATTTACCTAAATGTTGGATATGTCATGTAAAACCTAAATCCTTACATGAGCTTAAAAAATTTTCTAGTTCACCCTTTAACAAATTTCACTTGTATTCCAAGTGTGACTATTTGTTCAAATTGCACTTTTAGTCCTTTTTAATAATATTCAGATTCTTTGTGTAAATATGAAAATAGGTAAAATCTATAGTGAAGAATATACAGCTAAATTATACCAGAAATTAAGTAAGAAAAGCAACAAAGAGAACTTGAAAGTTTGTAAACAAATTTATAAATCTAATCCCTTAATTGATGGTAGCCTCCAACCATGCAACAATTAAATAATGGAGCCTTTGATAAATATCATTAGGTCTTGCCTACTGCTGACTCCTAATGTTCAATGCACCCACAGGGAACAGTCTCTTGTGCTCTTCAGAACATTTTTATCTGTGGAAGATTTAATGCTATCATGATCATTTAACCATATGCCAAGGCAACTTCCTGTCTCAATAAGTCACAAATAAGGGGCTAATGTGGGTTATTATGAATTCTAATGTTAGCACTGTCAAGTCATAATCAATTGCAAAGTAAACATTATTATTCACTCCTTATTTGCACTATGGATTAAACAGGAAATTTCCAGTAGGCATAAATCTCTCAAAATGAGCATCTTTTGGTAGAACATTCCTTTCCTGGTTTGAAATAAATGTAAATAAGGTTATGATTTTAAATCAATTTCAAACATTAACTATTATAACCAACTCTTGCAAAGACTACAGTTGCCCAGCAAACTTCTTTAAATTTTCTTACCAAAGTTATTTTAAATAATAGGATAGTTTTGAACTACATGTTTACTGAAGAAAGAGTTAATATATCCTACTGCACTTTGATAAATCTATTCGGTATGAAAGAAACTTGGTTGCAAGGCATCAACCAACTACTTGATTAAAGGAAGTAAATTCCTTTTCTAGCTAATTTTTTACATATTTGATTTTGATCAGTTCAGTTTGTGGGGGCTCCTATTATGGAGTATTCTTCAATATATTAATATTCTAATAGCCATGTAAAGTTTCTTTGGTGCTCTGAATCTTCTCAAGAGTTTTAAATGCTCATATGCAGAAATCAATTATACATCAAAGGGTCTCACTACAGTTAAATTATGAAAACAATAGAACATAAAGAAACATCCAGCAGACAAGACATGACAAATATGAATTTCATACTGGGATCAAATAAGTTGGTTATTATGATGACAGAGAGCCATCAATGCCCAAGGTTTCAATCAAACTCTCAAAATTGGGAAGCTGACCAGAAGGAGAAAATTATTAAATTAAATTTGTCCTAAAGCTGCCTCCATACATAGGAAACTGCAACCTAGATTAGTATGTAAACAAATTATAAACTAACTTCAGGGAACGTTCTTATAATAAGTGATTGTGTTTTAGCCAATCATAGGCTGCCAATTTATCCAGTCTGCCAAGCTATACCCAATTCAGCTGTTTCTGTATGTCACTTCCTTCTTCTGTCTATAAACAATGCCTGCCTACATTACTGTGTACAGCTCTCCGAACCTCTCCTGTTCTGAATTCTGCCTGATTCACCAAACATTTTGCTCAGGTAAATTCTGTTAAATTTATCTAAGTTTTTCTTTTAACAAAGGTTTAAAAACATTCAAATTATAAACTCAGAATGGAATAAAGATTCAGAATAAAAGGAATGATAATGATACTCTGTGAAAAAAGTTAAATTTAAATAAATGCTACAATTTCACAAAAAGTAATGTAAATATCAACAATTATCCATCAGATGTATTAGGTTTACAATATGTAAATTAAAAAATAAAATTCTCTGGAAATTAAAAGTAGAATCCAATATCATATTTATAAAAATCAGACACTAGAAAAGTAGGTGTTATGGTTTGGATGTGAGGTGTCCCCCAAAAGCCCATGTGTGAGACAATGCAAGAAGATTTAGAAGAGAAATGATTGGGTTCCAACAGCCTTAACCCAACCAGCAATTAATCTCCTGATGGGATTAACTGAGTGTTGATTTAAGGCAGGTAGGGTGTGGCTGGAGGAGGGGGGGGTCTTTGGGAGCATGCCTTTGGGGTATATATTTTGTATCTGGAAAGTGGAGTCTCTTTGTGCTGCCTAATCATCATGCAAGCCACATCCCTTTACCACACTCCTCTGCCATGTTGTTCTACCTCACCTTGAGCCCTGAGAAATGGAGCCAGCTGTCTATAGACTGAGATCTCTGAAAGCGTGAGCCCCCAAATAAACTCTTCCTCCTGTAAAATCGTTCTTGTCTTTTTAGTCGCAGCAGCAAAATACAGATTAAAACAGTAGATGAAAATGAAAAAGAAAGAAAAGTGCCAAATTCCTAACGGAATGGTGGTATTAAAGGAAAATATATTAGTTATTTTTCTTATAAACCTTTAGCTTTCCTRTTTTCATCTTCTTTTTTCTGCCTTCTTCCCTGGATCAAATTAGCTATTAAATTTTATGTGTTCATGTGAGCATCAGCATAGAGAAACACTATAGGTGTTAGAAAGTAAAATTTTAATTTCATTTTTACCTAATATTTATCAATAGCTTTTGTGAAATACACTGTCATAAGGAATAACTGTTCAGTGAATATGCAGTTCATGCTTTATATATGACACTCTAATATATAATTCAGAATTAAGCAGACTCCAAGATAGAGCAGACCATTTCCTGTTGTACCTACAGAATTAATTCTACTGAATTAATAGTTGATATGATACCATCAACCTATATTGTAAGCCATCAGAAAAAGTTATAAAACTTATCACTGGTTATAAGAGTGGTATTGATAAAGCATAGTAAACTGCTTTGTTTTAGACAAATCCATAGAAATATTACCAGGAGATATGGGAGGTCACTCCTGGGATATTTAGCATCTTAACTTGGACTTGAGCCAAGGAGATTTTGGTCTGACATTGCATGCTATTTTGTGCCCCACCCCCACTTAATGGATTACACAATGCCAGTGATCAGTGATCCCTGGGATAGGAAGTAGCTCTGGAATTGGGTGTGACCCATTGGGCCTGGACAGCCCACCTCCTGCCTTATTTGGTGAAGAAGGTTCTGTAGAAAACCTTTGAAGTTCCCTTGTATAAAAAAAGGAAATGCAGCTTACTCCCTCTCTCTTCCCAGTGTGGAAGTTCAACCCCTAAGTCATAGCACTGTCTTGCCCTCCCTTTTTAAAACTACTTTTGTATATAGTATGATCCCCCCATCCCCATTCATTTCTTAGAGCTTTATGTTGCAACTAGCCTGCTTCAGGTAGAGGAACTCCGACTCCATCACCCCCATAGGACATGGATGGGAAGGAGATACATATTTTAATATTTGATTATTAATATTAGCACTTTTCTTATTATCTATGTCTATTATAATTAAATTGTAAAATGTAATTTTATTATCAAATAATATATCACATTATATAATAAATATTAGCATATGTTATAATAAAACTATAACATAAAATATATCATATATAGTTAGATGAAATGGCTAATATTATTAATTCATAGATATATTTGTTTTTCTATAACAAATTGATTCTGTTTTATCTTACAGAAATTGAGAATTATGGAATTATCCCTCTTCCTATTGCCAGAACTGCTAGAAAGCTAAAAATCAGGCAGATTTATAAAAATCATATATACCATGATAAAAATTCACATTGTAGCAACTTTCTATATATTTGAATGATTTTTAAATAATTAAAATTTAAGCAACATTTCATTGTTAAAAGAGAGCAATGCTTTTAGTATTATTTCAACCTTTTATCAACTACAGAGACATTCTTACTTTTCAAGTCTTCTTCATTCTCATATGTATTCATTATGCTTTCTAATGTTTCATTATTTTCAAGTTCATCCCGGAAACATTTATGCTTCAGGTTGCCCATGAACAGCTGCAGCCCAATTAGAGCAAACACGCTGAGGCAGAACACAGTCAAGATCATGACATCAGACAACTTCTTCACAGACTGGATCAGGGCCCCTACAATGGTCTTCAGGCCTGTAAATAGAGAAAAAAAGAATATGTTCATAATGACAAAACCTCTAAATGAAAAACAAAAGCAAAACACCAGCTTTCCTAGAAATGCATGCACTCTGTCAAGTCAATGATCTTAAGTTATCTAACTCAAAAAAAGCCTACTACCTCACAAGGGCAGATTTGACATTTTATGTATACCTTGTTTATACCTAGAAAAGCAAATGATTAATAATAGCAAAATATTCCCAAGGAATATTCAAGATGTCTAATGAATAGTTTGGTTGCTCAGATCATATTCATTCTCACTAGTAGCATAATTTTTGTAACTTATAATTCAAACCACTGGTCAAACAAACCATCTCTTTATAATGGCACCAAAACAAATAAGAGTCTGCATTGCAGCACATAATGACAACTTAGAATGAACTCATTTTCAATTAAGAAATGGTTTGTTGAGAGAGATATAAAACAACTGTGTCATGCAATACCCCCATGCTGATGTTTATTACTTATTTTTCAAAATATATGGGAAGCATTTAAAATTAATTGAAATTTTCCTTCCTGGAAAAGCAAATGGAAAGTGAGCCCTTAGACAGGAGGGAAAATTTCAAGTGGAGATGTGAGCCAACGTGGTCATCTTCATTCTCCAACACCCATGCAACTGATTAAACTCAAAGGCTGACTTTTAATTGTGATTGTGGGAAAATGAAAGGTCTCACACTTAGTTAAAATCACATAAGAGAAATTTTTTTTTATCTTTCCTCCAAAAGATCAAAGTCAGCTCTTGTGTTTAATCCCTCTCTCACCTGGAATGACTGAAATAGTTTTCAATGCTCGGAGAACTCTGAATGTTCTCAACGCTGAGACATTGCCCAGGTCCACAAACTCTGTCACATATCTGCAATAGGGGAGTTTATACACAAACACGGTGACAACACACACACAAACAGACAAAGAACAACTCCCAAACAGTTGGAGTTATGAGTAGCCTAATGTTTCACACCAACTACTTCTTACCTGGGATTACAGAAATAGTTTTCAAAGCTCTCAATACTCTGAAAGTTCGAAGAGCTGAAACATTGCCTAGGTTTACAAATTCTGTTAAATACCTGTAGAATTAAATCAGAGTTATTCAGAATTTAGATAGACTCTATGATACTTACCTGTGCCTTTAGTCAAGGTAGTTTCTCTGTTTGTTACTCTTCATTAAATACATAGTTCTATAAGTCTTTTTTAATTTTTAACTAACTTAATCTAATTGGTTTTGCTTTGACTCCTTTGATGAAAACAAGATGAAACTGTAATATCAACTGCTTAACTGCTTAAACAAATGCTTCAATTACTAGCCCAGCAACATTACAGTAATGCAGATTTTTAAATTTCTATAAAACATTGAAAACAGGGTGTTAAGAGAAATAGGTCAGACACTTGCATACTTTATGCGTCCATCCATAAGAAGAGGCAAATCCATAAAGAAAAACAAACAAACAAACAAACAAACAAACAAAAAAGGTGAGTGTTTTCCAAGAGTCTGGGAGAGAAGGGAATGGAAGTGACTGCTGATGGGTCCAGGTCCAGGGTCATTTGTAAAAATGTCTCCAAATTAGACAGTGGTGATGGTTACACATCTGTGATCATACTAAAAATACTGTATGGCACACTTTAAGAGGGTGATTTCATGGTTGTAAATTGCATCGATAGAAAAAAGAGACTACGGGAAGAGTAATCTGTTTTAGCATAAAGTTTTCTAATCGGCAGGAAGCAGATGGAACTACAACATCAAATGTGACCCCCAAATAGGAAGTCTGATGAATAAGGAGGTGGTCTCTGGTGAGGGAATCAGAGGCTAGAAATCTTAAGACACTTCTGAATTGCTTAAAGGATTCAAAGAACATAGATTACTTTTATGATTCAAAATAATAGAAAATAATGTACCTAAGTTTGAGTTTAAAGATAAATAAATGTTTCTGAGAAACACATTTGGGAAGAGTAACAATATAAATAAATTAAAAATAAGTCTTGGGCTGGGGATGTGGCTCAAGCAGTAGCGCTCGCCTGGCATGCGTGGGGCGCTGGGTTCGATCCTCAGCACCACATAAAAATAAAATAAAGATGTGTGTCCTCTGAAAACTAAAAAAATAAATATTAAAAATTCTCTCTCTCTCTCTGTTTAAAAAAATGTTTTAATGTAATATTTCCCTCAAATATAAATTGTAGATGTATATGGAATGCATATAAAAGGCATTAATATTAGGTCTAGTAAATAGTGACAATTCCCATAAAACACTTTTTTATTTTAAAACATGTATTAGCCCTTTTTTAAATTTTTAGTTGTACATGGCCTCAATACTTTTATATTATTTATTTTTATGTGGTGCTGAGGATCAAACCTAGTGCCTCACATGTGCTAGGTTAGCACTCCACCACTGAGCTACACCCCCAGCCCCCACATTAGACCTTGAATAATACAAGTTAATAAAAAGAGCACCATACTTATAATAACTTGAGGATATTTTTGTACTTCTTACAGATTTTTAAGATTTTTAAGTAAAATGTTGGAAAAAATGCACACCTAATTGGTACTGCATAGGTGATTCACTCAAGTTCTAAGCATGAAGGTGATCAATCTTGATGTCATATATATTTGAATAGGAAATACTCTATCTGAAAAATGTACTATTTACCTATCAACAAGTAACTTTCATACAGCTTCTTGTTCTGTTAACTGCAACCCTCATGTATGCAGGAAAAATCAGACCCCATGGGTTGTTCTTACTGTAATACTGTGCTGTCTGAGATTTTCATGAGTTCGCCATTCCAAAAAAATGAGAGTACTTACGCAAAAATAATGACAATAAAATCCAGCCAGTTCCATGGGTCGCGAAGGAAAGTGAATTCTCCTACACAGAAGCCTCTTGCAAGGATTTTTACAAGTGATTCAAAAGTATATATTCCAGTAAAAGTGTACCTAAACACAGGAACCCATAGGTATATTAGGTGTGAAAAGAATATAGCTTTGTGTAAATCTTTATTACTTATGTCCTCTGATTAACCAAAGACATCTATTGGCAGATACTGTTTGTTTATAGACCTACTTTCTATTAAAATAAATTGCAATAAAGTTCTTTCCAGAAATTCTTAAAATGTACATATCAGAAACATTTCCAGACAGAGAAGATGCTTGAAATAACCAAGAACATAGGTGTTAGGTCTGCCTAGAAAATTCCTAGGTTCCTCCTATCAAAAATACACTCAAGAACAAGAGATAGAAGACATGTTTAAGAACAGGGCAAGGGAGCTGATGAGTTTGTTCTTGAAAATATGGTATCAAATTATTCTAATCTACTGCTAGTGAGATAATAGCATTGAGAAAAAAATAAATTAAAGAAAAGCAACTATATAGGAAGAGGATAAACATCATGATTTTTATGAAGCTAACTTTCTAGAAGGAAAGGAAAGGATGAAAATGATAATGTGAAACTATATTAAAATATATATCCACTTACTCTACATTTTTGGTCCATTCTGGAGGGCTACTCATGGTCATAAATATGCAGTTTGTCAGAATAGTGCACATGATAAGCATGCTGAATAAGGTAGCTTAGAATCAAGGAGCACAAGAGACCACAATAGGAACTTTGAATATTGGATGATAATACATGCTGAAATATGAACAACTTTTCCTTAGAAAAGAACCTAAAGGAGCTTATAGTTTTGGTTCTTTCTTTCTTTCTTTTTTCTTTTTTTGGTTTTTTGAAAAATAAATAAAAGTAATATTATAAAAATGCTAATAATGACATTCTCCTAATCCTGAGATCTACACTGATTTATATTGAAATCCATAAATTAAAACCAGGGTCATTCAAGATGCAAAAGAACTAAAACCTATATTCTAATACAGTAGTAAAAACTTTGCTCTCCAATATCTTTCAAGTATATATTTTGGAAAGGATATGAGTGTACTAAAATCTTAATAGATATTCTTCTCAGACGACTGAAAGGAGACAGTATGTATAAAGCAGGTGCGGCATTGAAACGGAAGATTGCTTTCCCTTTGTTCAATACTATAAAAGTCTGCAGGAGCAAAAAGAAAACAGTATGAAGTTAAGAATGTAAATTTTCAGTATAGCACATGATAACAGCAGTTGGGCTTCACTTGGTAGTGTCATCTTTAAAAAATAGTGCCACTGAACTCAGGCAAGTTGCTTCCAGGGTCACAACACAACTATCAATATCACCATGATCAATGAACTCTGATTCTTTTCAATTATATTTATAATCATGCATTTCTTAATGCTTCCAAAATACTATGTTTTCTCTTTTTCATATATCTCTTCAATAGCAACAATAATTTGTAGCTACTGAAATTAGTTAAAATACAATTTTTACCAGGCACAGTGGTGCATGCCTATAATTCCAGGCTGAGGCAGGAGTATTGCAGGTTCAAAGTCAGCCTCAGCAATTTAGCAAGGCCCTGAACAACTTAGAGAGACACTGTCTCAAAATTAAAAAAAAAAAAAAAATTAAAAGGGCCGTGGCTCAGTGTTTAAACACCCTTAGGTTAAATCCCCAGTAAAATAAATAACTAAACAAACAAATAAATATAACTTCTTTCTCTTCCATTATACTACATTTTAATCTAATCAGGCAGAAAGTAGCATCTCTAATTTTAATCATCAAATTTTGAGAATTTTAATACTTGCTGACAATTGTCATGGTTAATAGTAAATGAGTTTTCCCAAAATATATTTTCATAAATTTAAGGAATGTCAGAGTTGGAAGAATCCTTCCAAACACTCAGTTCAATTTCCCTATTTTAATTGTAATAATAGTGATGGCTAAAATTAAAACATTATAAGTTAAAAAAAAAACTTTCTTGCCAACCATCCATGGTAATTTTAAAAAATAATAAAAGCAAAAATAAGCTTTCTTAAAATATTATATCCATTGTGTAACGAGTGACATTATCTATCGCTTCTGTATGTGAGAAGTGAAAAACAAATGAGAAAATAATTGCTACAGGAAAACATTAAAACAATTCCATTGCCCTGGAATTCAGAAAGACCAGGTTTAAATCCCTGTCATGGCAGCCAAGTTATTTGTGTCATCTAGAAGGCACTGCCTTAGCCTTCATTATGTTGCTTATTCTTTATCAGTGGCCTTCTGGCTATAAGCACTAACCCAACTGGGGAAATAATTTCATGAATTTTCACTTTTATTTGTAAGTGGCAACAAGTGCTCAAGAGGCCAATCAGAAACAATTATTTTCACATGCTCTTATTTTCCTGTTCCCTTTCACTACATCAGGTATGTCTAAATGGTGACATAAAATTCACTTTCACATTGAATATCAGTTTTAAAATTAATAAGTAGTCCTTGATTTTTCTTAAACAATAATACCCCGTGCTTTTAAAAAAATCCATTCATCCATTCTTTCTACAAATAGAAAGAATGTGAACAATTATGCTACAGGTGGTGATGATAAGAGTCCAAGCTAGCATGGAAATCATAACATTGCTATGTAGCCTTGTCAAGTTCAAGCTACCCTGTTCTTGAAATCTGAAAAATAAAAAAAAAATAATAATGATTTTGGTGTTTAAAATTTTAAATCAGAAATATTCATTTGTATTAAACATTTTCATGAAATTTTTGAGTTTATACACTCAGGAATTAACTATGAGCAGGGAAAATAATGACTGAAATTTGTGGGATCAGTGTGTCATATTCAGACAGGCAGAATAGTATACTACTGAACCCTTTAAAAAGACTAAAGAAACCAAATTAGCAACACTAAAATCTGGATTAATGAAAAATTAGAAGCACATATTCTGAATTTACTATGTATGTATTTAACTTAATATTTTGATGATGATATGTTCACTAAGTTCAAATTAACCTCAATTTAATTTTTTTGTTGTTGTTGTTGTTTTTGTACAGAAGGAAGCCAACAAAAACCTGCCACTGACGTCCCAAGAACTCACCTTTTTGTCTGCATAGTATGGGTCCAGGTCCTCCAGGGGCTCTGACACCATGCCGGGCGGAATGTCTCCATAAATGAAGGGCAGCTGCTTGCCGGCTTCCAAGTCACTGCTTGGCTTTGGACCATCCTCCTCCTCATCTTTCTTTTCTTCTTTGGGTTCCTTTGCTTTTTCTTCAGCAATGCGTTGTTCAATGAGGGCAAGGGACTGTTTTGTGAAGTGGACAAAGCTCTGAGGTCCTGGGGGTGGCAACGTTGCCATCTTTTCATCCTGTATATTTTATTTCCCCTTCAGCTCCTTACATAAGAGGCCTGGGAAGAAATACAGACTTTGATGTTTTGCTGCCTGGATAGGCACCTTAAAAAATAAAAACAGGTCAGGAGTGTAGCTTTGTGGTAGAGCACTTGCCTAGCATAACAATGCTCTGGGTTGGTACCTAGCACTGCAGAAGTGAGCAGCAAAAACACAGATGGCAGAATGGAGATTCCTCAGGAGACTTGGAATGGAGCCACCATTTGACCCAGTTATCTCACTCCTCAATTTATACTCACAAGACTCAAAATGAGTATACTACAGTAACACAGCCAAATCAATGTTCATAGCAGCATAATTCACAATAGTAAACTATGGAACCAACCTAGGTTCCCTTCAACAGATAAATGGATAAAAAAAATGAGGCATATATACACAATAGAATATTACTCAGTCTTAAAGAAGCATGAAATCATTGTATTTGCTGGTACATGGATGGTACTAGAGAATATCATGCTAAGTGAAATAAGCCAATCCCAAAGAACCAAAGGCCAAATGTTTTCTCTAATATGTGGATGCTAATTCACAATAAGGATTGGGGCTAAGAAAGAATAGAGGTACTTTGGAGTAGACAGAGGGGAATGAAGGGAGGGAGAGAATATGAGGGTAAGAATGATACTAGAATGAATCAGACATTATTTACCCTATGTGGATATATGATTACACTACCTGTATAACTCTACATCATGTACAACCAGAAGAAGGAGAAGTTATACTCTATTTATGTGTTATATGTAAAAATGCATTCTACTGTTTTGTATAACTAATTAGAACAAATGCAAAATAAAAAATTTTAAAAATCACAATAGGCTGGGTTTAGTGGCAGATGCCTGTAATCTCAGAGACTCCAGAGGCTGAAGCAGGAGGATCCCAAGTTCAAATCAACCTCAGCAATTTGGTAAGGCCCTGTCTCAAAATAAAACATAGAAAGGGCTGTGGCTCAGTGGTTAAGTGCCCCTGGGTTCAATCCTTGGTACAAAAAGAACAAACAAACAAAAAACACAAACCACAATAGGTAAGATGCTCACAGACTTACTATCAAATTGCGTAGTGACCACTATGTACCAGGGAAGGTACAGGACTCATGAAAATGCCTCTTAATGATCTTTATTTAAAAATCTAAAATAAATGCATCACAGCTCTAAAGTAAAATAAAAGAAAATAGATCAATTTTCCAAAGATTTTTTTTTCTAAATTCCCTTTACTTTTCACCTGTACTTATCTTTGGTGAGATTCGACTCAATGTTCTTCTTTTAGTCTTTTCACATTGGTTTTGATAGCAACACCCTCCACTTTCTCCTTTCCCTCAAAACCCAAAGTACACTCTTTTTCTCTTTTTTCCTTTATTTTACACACTTATATTTTCTTTCAATAAATAGATATACCTTCTAAAAATCAGAAGGCTATATTTCTATTTTGAGATGTAAACAAAAATATTATGGGAAGAACAAAGAGACAAAAAAATTAGAAAATTTTTGTGATGGAGTCAATATTAAAAATGAAAAGCCACTATAATATGCATTCAGACTACAAGTGCCCTGATCAATTTACATGACTATAGAAAAAATTCCAAAATTACAGAAGATAAAATTTAGAAATGAGTTTTTATATGTAATTATGTTTATATGTTTCAAATATATTAGAGTGAAAATGAGAGTTCTTATTTAAAAAAAAAAAGCAAGATTCTTTTTAAAAATTTATTCTTGATTGGAGCATTATAATTATACATCATGGTGGGTTTCATCATGTCATATTCACAAATGCATATAGCAATTTGCTCAATCTCCTTCTCCAATATCTCTCCTCCTTCTGAGTCATTTGCTTTAATCCACTGATTTTCTTCTATTACCATTATTTTTATTTGTGCATTATCATTATTGGAATATTCATACATGCAATAGAACAATCTGGTTCTATGTCTTCATCCCCAGTATTTCCTCTCAATCCCCTTCCAGACTCATCATTTTAATAAGTGAAAGTAACTTCATAACACTCCATTACAAAATAAAAATGAGTCTTCTTTTTCTGCAGTAAGCTTGCTTGAGAATTGGTACACACCAGCTTCTCACCTGTCAACCTGTTCTTGGCATGTAAACTGCTTGCATATTAAGTGATATATGGTCACACATAGAAGGAGGATAAATAAAAGGAGTCACATTCTACTCTTTTTTTTCAGTGCTAAATATTAAAATTATGGAAATTGAAGTAGTAACCACAGGGGTTGTATAGATGCAAAAAAAAAAATAGGGTCCAGTTAAAACTTATAGTTCCCAGGTTTCTCCTATTTCCATGTAAAACAAAATAAACTTCAATTATAACACAATGAATAACTTTTTCCTTGAAGTTACTTGGGCACAGAACAAGTATAACAATGGGTTGTAACAGTAATTAACTGTTACAAAAAATACAGAAAAATATGGAAAATGCTGGCATTGCAAAGAGACAAGTAGCACTTGGAGAGGTAGGAGAGCAAGGTTTATTCAGCAGAGGTGAAGGCCCAATGGAGTCTTCACCAAATGCTGAGCATAACCCTTCATTCTCAGTATCTTTTCCACAGTACAGACTTCCAGGTTTCAAGATATTCCCATGCAAGTAGACTTTATCCTTTCCTCATTCTGCAGGCAGCTCGGGTTCCTGTCACAGGTGCTGAGCAAGCGTATGTACAGAAGAAGAAATTAGCAGGTTGTTGCTCTGTCTTCTGCTTTTTGTTTTTTGGTTGTGTTTGCCCAGGATTTCAGCCTACTCTGGCTCACCCCCAACCCCAAACCCCCGGCACCCAGTCACACTGTTTTTCTCTTGGAAGGGGAGAGCATCCTCCTTTAACTGGGATTCTTTCAAAACAAAGATGATTCTGATTAATTCAGATAATGTAATTAAATCAGCAGTAACTTGGAGCCAAAATTCATGCTCAAATAATTGATTTTTTCCTTTGAAAACTGGAAACTTGAGGAAAGCTGCTCAGGGTTTGGGTGTTCACCAGATAAGGCTTCTCAAACCACCTGATATCTAACAATTCTGACTTCTTCTCCCTGCCCTATCTTCCCCTTTGTAGAGGACCAGCACTAAAAACTAATAGGTAGAAATGATGATATGTGTGTATGTACATGCACTTTTAAGATATTTTCAACTCTCCCCATATATTCTTGAAAAATGATGAAATAATTAAAAAAAATAACTCTTGAGTTTAGCTTTGTGTCACTGGCTATTGCTATGTCAGATGTTTTGGCAGGAAGAATTGGTATCAGACGATCTTAATACTTAGAATTAGGCTTTGACGTTGATAACCAATATTTAATATATTTGGATTTTTTTTCCTGTGATTACTATGGTTAGAGAAAACAAAATGGTGTTTCGTTCCTCTAACTTCATGGTAATTTTGAGTATAGTCAGCATGGGATGAAATTAAAAAAAAAAAAAAAGACTTCTCCAGAAAAAAAGAAAGGAAGGAAGAAATTAATTAATTAATTAGCAGGTTATAGCTATTAGCAGAGACATAAAGAAACATCTTAGGAAAGAGTTGCCACTTTATTACCAGAAACCTGTGTATCTTAAAAAGAGATGGTAAACCTCTTTAAAAACAGGACAGAAAATTTTGAACATATGATTTAAAAAATTTATAGAGAAAATTTTGCTTTTCTGAAAACTGCTGTTTTTATGATCTATAAATGATTGACATTTCATGGCATATATATCATAACATGTTCATATTTAACCCATCTTCATTTACATTAAATATTTGTACCAAATATATTATCTAAGTGTGTTACTATTCAGATATTTTTGAACTGTGAGAACAAGGAGAAAACAGTTGTCTTCAAGGAATTTCCATTATGAAAAGGGGCGCCAATCTCATGAATTCATACAGCAAAGACAACCCTAATTTCAGTGTGATAAAGGAGAAGGCTGTTAGCACAGACCCCTTGTTTCTTCTGGTGTAGAAAGAGAGACACAGAAACACACACATGTCAGGGGAAAGACCACTATAGGTAATTGAAGGTGGTGAGTCCCTTTGGTTATAGCACAAGATTTTATACATTTCTGATAGAAATTCCTCAAGTCGTTTGATTTTCCCTATTCACTTATAAAAATAGAGGACTATAAGCCTTTGACTGTCGGTAGACATATAGCAAATTTTCCCAGGAAAGAATATATTGAAAGTGATGTAAAAAATAAATAGATTAATAAATTAATTAATTTTAAAAATGAAAGTGATTTAATGTAAATTTTGGTCATATACATCTCTTCTTATGAACTCAAAATTATGGAATTTTATAATTATGAACAAAGAAGAATGAAGTCATCTATTTTGATGGGTACAAGCAGCTAATAATATTTAGTTTGTGAAAACAAGAGTAGAATATGGCTGATTTTCTGAGAACAGAATTTGGTTAGTTAACTTAGTTAACTAATTCTGTAGTTACTAATTTGCCCCTGGTTTTGAATTGTTTTACTAACATTATTTGCCCCATTATTCCTATGTTTTAATACCCGTAAGAAAAGATGTATATGTTGTTGGAAACTAAAATTAAGATAATTTTTAAGAAAAATGTAATGAGAGCTAAAGAATGTGGTATGGATATCAGTATGGACAAGGCCCTGGATTTGATCCTTAGTACCAGAAAATCAATCAGYCCATCAAATAAAAAGAATGCAGTGAAAAATAGGGGTCTTTGGGTGTGTATATTTTAAATAGGATGGTGTTAATGGGTATGGGGTTTCTTTTGGGGGTGATAAAAATGTTCTAAAATTAGGTAACTAACTTTGTGAATATACTAAAAACTCTTGAATCATATACTTAAACATGGTGATTTTGGTGTCAATTATACCTGGATAAAAGTGTTACAAAAACACACTTAAAAACTGATTCATAATTTTTTGAAAATTGTACTGAAATGAGGGAAGGGTTTAATAAAATGGAAACAAACCCATACAACCCGTGGAATCTCCATGGGCTGAGTATAAACTTGGGAATCCTTTGGGCCTAAGACGAATCAGGGAT